CCGCACCATCAACTACTATCATGTTTGACTGAGGTTCTTCTCTTGGTAAATACCCCTTAGCTTCCAGAACTTCCAAGAGCTGTGATTTAACACCAATATTTATTTTGCGACTTTGAGACAGTGAAGAAGGGAATATCTTATTTTCGTGACTGAAAAGCTATTCCAAGTCACATTTTCTGCTTTGAAAGGATATTTAAGGTCTTGAAAACAGACTGCAATCTTCTCGGGCGAGGTCAAGCTTGCTTTTTGTTTCACTTGAACTTTTCTTTGGTTTGCGACTGAACAACAGAAACTTGTTTTTCTTAATAGGTTCATAAATATTTACCTTGTTTTGCATTCGGGTTCTGACGTCAGCGTACTGATTGCATCTAGTTGTTTAATTTGCGACAGCTTCCCTGTGTCTGCTTGTACAATATCATTACTGTCTATCTTGTAGATATCTCAAGAATCCTCAAAAAATGGATTTTCATTATCATTCATGACAGTTTTTAGTCTTTTCACTTTGTCAATGAAATCTCGTTGCATTGACACAGAATTGCCATGATGCCTGTTCCTTCTTCCAGACGAACATTCTTCAAACTGGCTTATCAGTCTACTGATTTCTGGTCAGGCTACCATCCAACGTCTCAAGGCAGCTGGATCCTTGGTTAGCCCTACTGCACCCCCATCACCTTTAACAATAGCAATATTTTGTTCATGAGCCTGGTCTATCGCCATGTTTGAGAAAACAAGATTTGATTTTTTTACAGTGAAATGCCCTTTTATGAATTCTCTGTAAATATCTGGGTTTTTTTGTTTCCAATGAAGCCATATCGCGAAGGTGAATAGAAAGCCATCTAGCATAATCCAAAAAATATGGGATCAAGGAAGACAACGCTTGTTTGTAAAGCTCAAAATCTGCCTCTCGTAATGATCGAATGTTCGAAAAAACCAACAAAATGAGGTCTACCTACTGTTTCTTTCTTCACACCATAGCATAAAATTGTTAAATTCTATTGATTCATCAGGATTTTCGTTATGACAACTTTCATAAGCAGACATTAGTAAATCAAACAAAACACATGCGGTTACTTTGGGGTATTAGAACTTGATAAGAACTATTCTGCAGTCCCAGAGGACGCCACATCTGCTACTGACAAAGCCTCGATCCAACCGCTATCCCACAATAGATCACCCAGAACTTTGAAACATGCCATTTCAATATGTAAGCCCCCCAAACATAACAACGAATTTGTTTTCACCGTATTCATTTTGCCATTACCACTGACTTTGCTTTGCAAAAACAAATAGCGGTTGGTCTGCTGTAAACACTGGAGTTTGTCTAGGATTCAAAAATGACACAACATATCTCACCTTATCCATCGAATGTTTTATGGTAGCAACTGAGTGAGCCTGTTCCTGCAATATGCAGGTAAGACTCACTTCAACAGTCGGTCCACGCTTCTCTGAAGAATGAAATGATGACCATGAAATATTTTCTAATGTAATATCTTCACCCGTCAACCTAACCGTATTTAACCACTCATACTCTTTCTGTAAACTCATGAATAGATATTCATTGTTTACAATGCCAGTTACATCCTCGGGTAGAATAAAGGGTTCTGGTTTGTTTTAAGAAATGCAGGTTTCATATTCATATAAGCACCAGTGAGTTCAGGTACCTTTTTAGGATTTTGGTTTACTTGTAGGTAATATTATTTGATCTCTTCTAACGCCAACATTTTCTTTCATTGGATGTTGAAAAATAGAGATTCCAGTCCCATGAAAAGATGATTTCGATGTTGTTGAGCTTGGGTTGTGGTCTATGTTGTCGACCGCAGCTGTAGTAAACACTTTGTCCTTTAATAAAGGCGGATAAACCACACCCTCATTCAAATAACGTTAAACTACAACTTCACCTAGTTCACTGTTGAGTTGTTATTTCCAGTACCCGATCATAAGAGATGCATAAGCCATGTTGAAAATAATGTATCTATAAGCTATCTCTTCCTGGTTTTTGCAAAGAGTAACAGTCCCAGATACACACAAAATGGTATTCCACGATCAGCTGAATGTTTGTGTTGTAAGGGAACCTTCTGGGTGTCTGGATGGTAATCAAACATTAATAGTTGGGCCAGAGCAAGTCGGTCTTTGTGGGAAACGTTGTCTAACTGCGATTTAATATCAGATCCATTCTCTATTATTTTCACCAACTGTAACAAAGGAGATGGTATGCTGTCATCGATATTTTCAGAGACCAAGAATCCAGAAAATGTTGTCTTCCTAGTAGCTAACTGGCAGCGAATCATTTCGGCCGTCTTTGCCATATGCATGGTATCATTGTAGTCACAAGCAAACGCGATAGCTGATTCTATATCTTTTTTTTATCAAAAGGACATATCTGCCTTTTGTGCGTGCTTCTAGTTCTGGTATCTTCTGCAAAAGCTTGTCTTTCAGGCGCGTAGAATGTACCTGTGCAGAAGAAGAACCAAGTTGTGTCAATCTTTCTTCATATAGGTATGCCAGGTCTGCTAATCGAAACACCACTGACTCTTCAGAATTTCTTCGAGTTTCAATGATGTATGTTACTAGCTCAGCTAATGCATTTTCTTTCATCATATTTTCCTCTTGAATACGACTGTTTTCGGCCTCTCTTTTTTTTTGCTCTCTCTCTCTCCATTGTATACAGCTGCGAGACAAGACGGGTGATACTTCATTTCTTGTGCTATGACATCACCACTACTTAGTTTTGTCAACAGCTGTTCATCCTGTAGCACTGTTGCACAATCCACTAATCGTTGGTTCAGTCCTCTCTCAAAGCGGATAAAGGCGACTCTTTATCACAAATGAAACATTTATGCACATTTTCAACGGGATCTGGTTGTTGGTCTTTCGAACGAGGAGTACTTCTAAAAAGTTTATAAGACTTACATTCACTAGAACTTCCAGATGGCATTGGTGACATATGGTGTATCTGGGCTCTCTCAGGTTTTGTATTGTTAAAGAGGGATATTTTTGCCCAACATTTCATATCCTTCATCTGACGATTTCAGTAGGTCCGTTGTGTCTTCCTGACACAAACAACATTTTGTTCAATCAGTTTCCTAACTATCTGTTGAGGAAACTACAAGCGAATTCTTTTCGCCATTTCAAAAATCAACTATTATATAAATAAACTAAAGTGATCAACAATGCAACGATAGAACAATTACGCAAATATTGTCTTAGTAAAATATCTTAACACTTCTGATATTCAAGCCGAGGGATTATCTTTTTACCACCTGTATAGCACTTTGTTTTATGGGATACAACTGAATTCGGTTAACCCAAGTACAAGTTTGCATACATTCAGCCAGTATCATTGAATTCCCGTGCGATATGTACACCATCCAGAGGAATAAGCCCCTTCTCCTTGGCTCAGCTCTCCCGCGTTAGCACATCCTTTCTATTCAGGTACGCCTCCATGACAATAATTGGGGCAATCATGAAGTATTTGGGAGCACTTTAATCTTATAAAGCTGATACTGGACTCCATGCCGAGATTATCGGCAGTGATTAATACCAGTGTGCCCTGGTAGTGCAAATAAATCACTCTCTGAAAGACTTCTAGTGATAAGTGATGATGAACATTAAGTAATGACTGGTAATGAATGACATTTGACAAAGTAAAGCAACATCACAATGGAAGGATGCCAAGCAATGGTTAAGGACGGACAACAAGTAAAAGCTTAACATTTTAATTAATTATAAACAAGGTCCAAAGACCAATCCCAAACGATGATTCAAATTAATAACTATCAAAGTACCATGATTTAAACATTGGCGTGTGGTAGTATGGGTCAAGTGTAAGATATTTAAAAAACCGGAAGTGAGTTATCAACCGATATTTGACCGAAAGTGATGTTTTATTACTACAATAAGACAAATTAACCTTCATTCACTCAATCTAGTAACATTTTATATAAAATACAAGCAATATGTATGCAAAAGGGAACATACATTTGATGTGTTTTACCTAGATAGACGCTATTTTGAAAATCAAACATGGCCGCCATGATCGGATGTATTTTTTTCGTGGCTGTCCCCTTAATATGATTAAATACACATAAAGGCATGTTCTTACAAAGTTTCACGCTCGTATCACTATTTACATGATTTTTGAGGTTAGCTGCTCAACTACTTTGACATGTTTGAATAGTAATAATTGGGTGTGTGAAATTATAAATAAATGACTGAGATTCCTTACCACTGTCATCATTGATAGTATATTTTATTCTTCATCTTGCAGTCGTCTTAGTTCGGTTAATTTAGAACAGTATTTGTTATTTGAATTTGATCTCAACCGGAAGTCAGATTTATACATAAACCCAGAAAATCCGAATGCAACACAATTGTTTTCATTGTAGCAAATCATCAATGAATCACACCATGATAGCTCACAAAGTTATCAAATCATTTTCAAATCATTGCATATGATATTCTAAGTAAAACAAATCATAAAGAAATAACACCATTTTAGCGTACAAAGTTAACAAATCTTTTTCAAATCATTCCATACGATATTCTAAGTAAACAAATCATAAAGAAATCACGTTAAAACAGAAACAAATTGCTAACAAATCATAAAATTGAAAGAAATCACAAAGAAATCAGTTTGGGGGAATTTTGCGAATTTTGATTTGTTTATAATTTCGTTAATCAATCGCAAGCAAATGGCACTAACAAATCGCAGAATCACGATTTGAAAGAGATCTGAATAAGATTTGAAAGCAATTTGTTTATTTATGTTTCTGTTTGGGATGATTTGCCCATCCATCAGACTACACAAGTCTGTGTCCACACTTGTTATCAAATGACTAAAACATGTATTTATAATTTTCTTTTTTCTTTTTTAAATGTAATCAAGAAGTTGTCAATTGCAACAGCTTTAAAAAATAGATAACGCAAGTAAGAAATTAATGTATATTTATAGATAGCACATCCCCTTTATTTACATTGTCTACTGAATTTATTTGATACAGACGTATTGTTAGGAGCAAGCAACATGCACACAAAAATGTTGGTATATTTGATGTTCTTCATATTGGAAATTTCTGCAGGTAAGACATTATTTTATATTTCTTTTTGTCAAGTGAACAATTTTTTTTTGTGAAATATATGTATTTAAAACTAAAGTCAAAATAAAGAAAAGATATTATATACTAAAAAAAAAAGAAATCGAAATATCCATGATTATTCTGTATAAATCACCCTTTTATCAAGATATTAAAGAATAATTTGTTCTAAATACGAAAAAAGATAAAGCATGAGGTAAAGATGGGATGGCTTTCTAATTCTTACCTAATTTTTTACTTCTTTCGACCGGTTGATTACTAGTATTCTTCTCATAATCAATAATTGGTTTGTTTGATCTTAGTTCTTCATTGGTCAAAATTCAACTATGATGTCAATTTATTTTGCTTTCCTTTGGATTTGGTATTGTGACTCAACCTTGCCCGATGACATCACATATAAAGAACACATGATTTTGCAGATCATTGTACATGCTGAACATTGCTGAAGAGGAAAGCAAAAATGTGTCGCCAATAAATCATTAGAGAAACAGATTCCACCGAGTATCTATATTGATTCTACCACTGTATCTCGTGTAATACGATATTTATCCTCTCTCTACAGTAAAATTTCAATATTCAAAATGCTCGGCAAGCCTCGCGTTTTCAATTAAAAATTTGACTGTCGATGCAGTGGTAGAATCCTTAATATATAATCCCGGCGAGGGAAGAACAAAAAAATTGCGAAAGCAAATTTACAGATCTAACATTGTTGGACTGATGTTTAGACGAGTTGTATATATATATTGAGGTAAATTGTATGGCTTTCCAAGTACTGTTTCGATTCCTAACATCACTGAAGAGACATTAATTGTCGAAATCCGGATATGGTGTACAAAAACCTTTGCACCTTTTGTTTGCGGTATATCATCTTTTCCGCAAGTTTATTGTTTTCTGTTTAGTATTAAATTTATAATTAAGATCCATTTATTACATCGGTGATCCGTTTATTTGTCAATCGCCAATGACAGTCAGTAGGGTTTAAGAACATTTGTTGTTCGACCTGTTAGTCAAATGCGTTGTGTTAAAATATACTTTTTCACTTTTTTGGTCTTTATGAAAATGTTGTTTGTGCTGTATTTAGACCCCTCTAACAAGAAATTTGTTTTGCATGCACACGTATAAAAATTGCGGTTTTTATCCAACGTGATCATAGGTTTGAACGTTGTTTTCAATTTGTACTTGTATATATATACATGAATATATACATAATTACTCTAAATATCAGCACAACAATGTTAAATCTTTTTTCCGCAAATTTTTGTTCTTCCCATGCCGGGATTCGAACTCATGCTATTGGGGTATCGTGACAACACCGCCTGCACTGTGTCCAGCGCTATAGACCACTGGGCCACCTAGAATGAACTAAAAATTCAGCTTTCGGTGGCCTAGTGTTACCTTTTCTCGTCAGTAGAATCAAGAGTTGTAACACAGTACATGTTATATTAGACATGAAGATGGAATTGATATATACATATATATCAAATTTACCTTGGTCCCTACTGTAATTGTACGTTTTCATAAAAAAAAGATGCTAAACATGACGTTGGACAAATGTAATGTCCAGCAAATGGCATAAGGATGTTTGTTAGTCTTGTTTTTTACTTGTTTGTTAGATATTCGGAATCCGAAGGTTTTATCCATGTGGTGCCATTAAAAAAAATTTCCCACTCACTCCTGCTTTTCTTTTCATAATTCAATAACCTATAGTGTAAAAAGACATTTTTGAAAATGTTATAAAATCCTTGGTACTTTTTTCATATTTTTTTTTTAAAGAAAAAATGTTGGCAATGTTAATTGTATGAAAAATCTAGAGAGATTCATTTTCCGACTAATTGTCAATGGCTTATATATCAACAACAAAAACACGGACCTTACATTTTTTCTGCTTTTTTAGGTTCATAATATATATACTATCAATTCATAACCGTCTTTTAAATAGCTTGTTATTTTAAAAAAGAGTAGCGAACATCCTTAATGGAATTTCAAGTAAGTGTATTAATTCAAATGCAATAGATATAATCCTAAAGTCTTTAGACCAATCACAGCGCTTTCAGTTGAAAGGATGAACACTGAAATTTTGAATGAAAGATTTAAGCCATTTGTCGAAAAATCTATAATGTCATTATCAGGTTGTATGAAGAATTTAAATGAAATACTGTGTTCAAAAGTTATTCTGTAGACGTTCCTACCATTTCTATGTATTTTTACATCCCTCGCTCTAAAATGTGAAGATTAGAACGTTTGGTTATGAAGGTTAATCTAATAAAAAGCGCGTCGAGAGCAGAAACTATTTAAAGAGCTATTTTCATTAACGATCATGCACACTTTTCGATACATTTCGTTGTTGAGATGGCGAATCCTTATTCCTATCAGGCTCATGTATTATAATCCCATTTGCAACGGCGAGATCAAATAACTATATTATTTTTCTTAAATTTGGGATGTTACAAAATTAATTGAAGTTCTTGGTAAATTAATCGAAAAACCGAATTCAAACGCGGGTTATAAAGTTCAAGTTTTTGGTAAATTAATCGAAAAACCTAATTCAAACGTGGGTGATAGTAAAACAAAATTTTATATGTTTAAAATAATAAATTAAAAGCAATAAAATATATACGGTAGCCATAAAAACACAGTTTTGAAATTTGACGAATATTTGACGAAATGCATCAAAATATATGCTGAATGACAATTTTAATTCTGAATGACATCAAAAATATACTGTAGCTTTAAAAACACAGTTTTGAAATTTCACGAGTATTGGACGGAATGATCAAAATATATGCCGAACGACAATTTTGATTCTGAATGACATTGGAGTTTTTCATGGCTGTTCTAATGTAGATTAATTTCTTATTTATTGAATTATATTGTCAGTTATACATTTATCAGTTTACAAAGTATATGGAAAGTCAAATGTAGTATTCTTAATGTAACAAGCTAACATATTTCAGCAAAAAAATAAAAATAAAAATAAAAATAAGAATAGATTTAGAGTTTTTCTCATGTTCATATATTCTATTTTCCTGAATCACCAACTTCACATTCCAGGTATGACAGAATTTCCTTGCAAATATCCCTGTTCATGGCGCAATAAAACATTTATTGTGTATGAAGACGGACAAACCAGTTCTGTTTGGGAGTTTAGTAGTGATGGTCAAACAAGTATTCTTAATAACTTTCACATATTACTGTGTTATCAAATAACAGAGCGCTTTCTTATTCTAAGGTATGTTAATGTTTATATTTTGTGTTCCTTGATGTTGTGGTTAAGTCTAAGTCATTAAAGCCGTTAGAGCCATCTGGCCTCTGAAATTGAAAAAAAAAAAAACGATCAAATTCCTCAATACTTTGACATTTGTGCTAGTTCTATTAATGAATGAAAAGGTTTTTAATCACTATAGAACAAAAATGCCAGTTGTGATGTCACTATGAACATATAAATTAAACTATAAATGCTTAAATCCAAGTCATTTGGACACTGTTGTCTAATATAAGGGATAGTAGTCATATTGGAAATCATACCTCATTTCCTTCTTTTTTATTGTTTAAACTAATGGTCCATTAGATAAAATTTCATACTAGATTTAGAGTTTTTTTTTAGTCATTTGGATTATTATCTTTATATTTTAGGACAAAAATGTCAGTGGTCTATCACCATGATACCAGAAATAGGTTAAACTTGAAATATTTTACCTAAATACCTAATTGGAATAGTTTTTGACAAAACTGGAAATAGACTTCGCTTAATATTTTGTACAGTCTGACTAAGGCCAGCCCCCACTATCCACTTTGCGTTACAAACGAAAGTGGATAGTGGGAGCTGCTTTTAGTCAGACTGTATTTTGTATTCACATTAATTTCTTTGTTTTAGACATTGTTAGACATCTTGAAGAAAAATATAATTTTGGGGAGGCCATATGCTGATATCTGGATTTTAATATCGACATCTATCAACGAAACTAATTTTGGCAAATTTTTATTCAATACAAGGAGTTTGATGCTCTGAACCAAATAGTTAAGACATCATCCAAATCTGTGAATATTGATTAATTACAGAGTATTGTCATTTGAAGATCTGAAAGTTTTCAATTGATACATCAATATTTTGAAATACTAAATATATATCGAATATTTCTGTTGACAAAAAATGTGCAACACGAAGTTGTTTATTTTTGTAGTTGAACATTTGTTTTATTGGTTTATTATAGGTATAACAAAATTACAAAGTGGATAAAAATCTTTTACAAAATGGAAAAAAGTGGACAGGTCGATACCATGTTAAAAAATAAAACATCAAAAGACAGTTCGCACAAATTTCACAGAAAAATTAAAATTCAGCAAACCAAAACATATAAAGGTTGGTCTTGAAATGAAGTGCATTGGATGTATCGTCTGCCATATTGACCAGTGTAAGAAATCGTCATATCGTGGGAAATCATTGAAATTAACATTTAGTAATTAAAAATATAAAACTTTATAGTTGTAAGAGCATAAAACTAGATTGAACATTTCTACGGATCTTCGTCTTCAAGATTTATTTCTTGTAGTATATTTAACTGACATCATCAAATTCTTTAAAATACAGAAATGGTCATGTGTGTATGTTTGGTTTGAGTTCTTTTTTTTTTAAGGCAAACGTTGATTCGTTGGCTTACGGTAGATTCTAATTTTTTCATGGCAAACTAAAGGAATGTACTTGTGTTGCTGGAAGGGAAAAAACACGCCAAGGATTGCAATGGACTGCTATGCGTTGTTTATTTTGTGATTCTATACTTTTAGTTCCTGTTTGTATCTTAATTCCTTTCATTTTTATTCGTTATGAGATGCTTTTAATGTCTTTTTATGACTAACGATTTTTCAACTGCCACTTTGGTAACTTTTTTTTTATCTAATTTGGTTTTCCTTGCTCTCAAATAATCTATTTAGTAATTTTATATGTGTTGTCATAATGCCTTTTATTTTAGATTCATGGATTTCATTGCCTCTGGGTATCTTATAACGCATATTTCCTGTAATAATAGAAAAACGTGCTCGAAGGAGGTAACCATTATTCAAAACCTAGCCATTTCACATCTTTCTCTCAATACTCTCTTTTGACCGTTGATGTTATAAACATATTTACTATATTTACGTCTGTGCTTTTCTTATAAAGGGTGAAATGATAAACAATTTATTATGTTGTTTCAGTTTCCAGAATCAATTAAAGACCGAGATGAATATTGATTGTTTTTTTACTGTTTCTGTCATTTTAAAAGTGACAGTAAAAATAACAAAACAAATGTTTTATAAAATCATGTTTAAATGGTCATGTTACTGTGATTTGAACAAGAATATAATAGAATTTACAACTTTTCAGGGAGAAGGGTTCTGAAAAATTTCTTTGTTACCCGATCTTTTATGATATTGCAAGTCCTCTGAAGTTTCAATATGCAGCAGGAGGTATGTTTTATATGTTGTTGATCATCTTGATATATTATAAGATTCTAAAAGACTATAGATTACTTGTTACATTTTGGTTTTTTAATACCAAAAAATGTTTTGATAATACTTTTTGTTTGTTTTCTGTCATATCAACATAAATACTTATAAAGATAAACCCCAATAGGACATACATGACAATAGACTTAATCAGATTGTCTATCTTTATATCATTTGCATATTGTGATTTGCTTGATATAAAAGTGAGGAGATGTGCAATCTTTGCCAATGAGGCAACTATCCACCAGAGTCCAAAAATGTTATTTCAAGCAATAGCAATTCACCGTACGACCTTCAACGATGCACAAATCACATATCGTATACATGGTAAATTCAGCGATAAAAAGATCCGACATGACAAATATGTAATCAATCAAAGGAGAATACCACCCATATCTTATTCGATATCATAATCAGTAGCAGTATGCAATGTAGAACATAAACAGTAATGTATTGCACTAATAAGCGATCACACAGCAAAGCAAAATACATCTCATCCAACATTCCTTTAAACTGGTTCTTGCTAGAACAAACCAAAATAATTTCCAGTATCCGATGGATTGGAATTTGATAATTTCTTTGATCACAAAACAGACATGATATATAATTTATCTGTATTTTATGATTAAACGTTATTCATTAACACCCGAAATTAAAACAGTAGGCTGTAATAACCCAATGGGATTTGGTAAAATGTATATATAATCTGAGACAACTCTCCATCCAAGTCACAATGTATAAAAAGTTAACAATTATAGGTCAAAGTACGGCCTTCAACACGGAACCTTTGCTCACGCCCAACAGCAAGCTGTTCGAATTCAATACAAGATGATAGTTATGGGAAAAACGAAGAAACCTAACAAAATATATGATTTTGTTGATTCGATGTGTATGTCGTGATTCACATTCTACTAGGTCATTTACACAAATATAGTGTTAAAGCTTTTTAAAAAAGTATTGATACTCTTCCAGTTGGTATAACCATTAACAACCAGACAGGAGAATTGACTGATTTATGTGGAATTTGTGGCGAAGGTGACGTTTACGAAGCTGTAGCTAAGAACAACCCTTGTTAGATCTTTTCCAACATTCAATTGAATAAGATTATACAGACGAAGAACAGAAAAAAATTACGGTATTTGTTTTTTGTAATTTTTTTTTTGTGTCATTTTTTTGTTTTTATGGTTCATGTTTTTTGTCATTTTTTTTACAGATTATTGTTGGTTTCTCTTTAACCTTGAAGTTTTGATTGTCCGTTTGATATTTATCGCCTCATATTTTGTATGTATTGTGGTAATTGAAATTTTATCATACTTTTCACTATATAGTTTTACAACCAAAGCAATGTAGTCAAGCGAATACCTAACCGTCTACTACAAATTTCCTATTTTGTATCCTGTTCACCCGTTCTTGTTTACTTCATTACTATATACAACAATGACGGAATCTTTATTTTTAATGAGCCACTCGAATGTCATTGGTGGAATGGGAACTGCTTGCTTTTATAGCGTATCACACGGATTTTGTTGGGTGTGTGCTCCTTAGTCTTTAGTTTGATGTTGTGTAGAATTTTTCTTTATGTTTTCATTTTGTTGTGCAATTGAGTTATACCTACCTTTCATGTCATAAACTATAAACAGGCATCTAGAAAGTACAACAAGTCTAGAAAATTATTGTTTTTTCATCCAGAGAAGAGAACATACATATAAATAACTTTTAGTCTTTAGTTCAATGACGTCACAAAAAACTTAATAAAGAAATGAAATATATTATCTGTGCCTTCTGATAATTCATCTGACTTCTTTTGCAGTATCAGGATCTCCTCCAACATGTAAGTATATTATTCGTTTAATTGAAAAAAAAAGTGAGTAAAAAAAGCTAATTATAATTTTGTTTTGAATATGCAAAATTAATGTTATATGTATTTTTTTATAATTATTTACGTAATTTATGATATCGTTATTGTTTTGTATTAACCCACATCGAGTGTTGTCAGGACAAATTCTAGTGGGTTCGATCCCCTGTCATGTCAATCCAAAGATTTGTAAATTGGTTTTTTGCTGTCAATCCGATAAACACAAGGCGTTTCCTTGTCAACGCACCGCATAATGTGTCCAGATAGGGTAACATGTATCCCACGTGTAGGTATAGTACACATCATTTTAATATTCGTATATAAACAATAACATGGGTTTCCTGATATGAATGTACGTGTCACTGGATGTCAGCCATCATCCGATCAATACATTAATATAACTGTTTATTAATTAATGTCTCTCTAGAATCTCGTATGATTCAATAAACACATGATTCCAATACAACACTATTGCAGATTTTATTTATCTTTCGAATATACTTTCAGCACCTCCCGTAAATTCTCTTGCTTGTAATAGACCATCAACATGTACCTCTCCACCTGGTACTGCTTGTAATATGAGTGATATCATTCCACAGGACTGCCCAGAAACCACGACTGAAAGTACGACAACCACAACTGAACCAACAACAACAACAACAACAGAACCAACGAATACTAAGAGTCACTGTCGAAAGAAAAAAAACAAACATACCAAATGAGCTATGTAACTTTATAATATGCAAATATATTGAATCCAATAAATTTTCAAGGAATATGGCAGTTGTTTTTTCACTTGTTCCGTTGATTGATACCGTTTGATTTTGTATTTTGTTTATGGATTTCCTATTTTTGAATTTGCCTTGGGGTTCGGTATTTTTGTTATACTTTTTTTCAATGATATGGTCAGTTCATAGTGATCGTTTTCTTAATGTTTTTCTGTTTCTTTAATTGATATATGTATACGTTTGATGTAGATGTCAGTGTACAAAACACGTGTTTTTTGTTAAATGCATGTGACGAAATTAAATGTGGATGGTTTAGAATTCAAGATAAATGTGGTTGATTTGTGCAAATAAAACATGAGGATTGTTCAGTGTACATGGCAAATATATATTGCTTAGTGCTCAAATGTGGTTTGTTATTTGTATTTAGAAAAAAGTGGTGTTTTAGTACACAAGACACGTATGAATATTTTGTGCACGTGACAAGTGTGTTGTGTTTAGTGTTATGTTTCGTTACACCTGACACGTATGGTATGTTGGGTTCACGAGAAGTGTGGTTTTGCCAGTACACATCTCACACATAATTATTTTAAGAGATCATGTGCTTGACAAAGGATGTATAGATGTATTTTCTCCAATATGCAGACTGGTCTGTATAATTTGATATAGCTATTTTATAGTATTTTTAAAGTAGTAAGATTGTAACCATTACACGATGAAAATAAGAAAATCCTTTCAAGATAGTTTTCGAATTTAGGAATCGATTCTTTGTGATGAAGAATGTTGCTGATGTAGATAGAATCGATTCCTAGATTAGAAAACTATTTTGAATGGACTTTCCTATTTTCACATTGTAATTGTTACCATCCTACTAGTTAAAAAAGACGAAAAATTGCTACATTTGTACAGACCAGTCTGCATATTGGAGAAAATACATCTTTACATCTTTTGGCAGGCGCATAATCTCTTAAAATAATTATGCATGTAAACATAATTTCGCTATATTTTCAAATCCGTCTGTTTCTATTGTCTGCTACAGTTACATCAAAACCATTGAACTGAACAAGCATTGCAAGACCATGGAAAATTCTTAAAATACCCTCTGTCATGTTCGTGTATTCATAGCCCCTCTACCAATGCATTTACTAGCGATCTAAACGTAATTCAAAATGATTATCTCCGGAAAATGATATCTCATGGGCCTAAATGTAGAGAGTGCCAACAAATCAATTAGAATCATAACTTGAAGATAATAAAGGATTATGTTGCGGACTACGACAGCGCATGGGCAAAACTTGACCAGCCACTATGTCAGAATGGGGGAACACAATAAGGTCTTTGATGCAAAGTCGAATATACAAGTTGACAAACTTTGTATATGTTCGAACTAAGCCAGACACATACGCTGGAAATGTCTATTTTATCTTCCCGATAAGTAGCTGTTTCATCGAGTGTCTTACAAAAAAAAGATTAAATGAACACTTTGGTCATATTAAGTACAAAAACATGAAAAACATAACTTCTGATAAGGATAAGATCTTGGCAAATCTCAAGTCCTTCATTGACTCATTGATTACTCCATGTAGCAACAAATATGAGCTCTTAACTTGTTTGTATTTGATACTCAAACTTAACAAACCTCCATACAAACAAGGGTCCATTACCGGCTCATCTACACACTCTATCAAAAACTTGTCCGTTAGATTTACCAAACCGTTGTCCGCAGTGAAAAAGGGATTACAGAAATATCGTGATATTGTTTACTCGCGAAGTGGCATTAACCATGTGTGGATTATTGAGAACTGTAAAGAACTTCTGAACATTTTTTATATCACTGTCCTCTGAATTATATTTTCACGAAAAGGGTTACCATACGCTACAAATATATTGTTTTTGGATACAATACAGCATATTTTGCTAAAATTGTAAACCGAGGATACTCATTGAGAATATATCTGTTGAATTTGAGCTAGAAGTTTCCATGAGTTGCTGGTTTTCCTATGGGGACATACTGTGCGCCTTTTCTTGCCGATATTTCTTATGTTTATATATATGAGTCAGATTTGCGCCAGACACTTGTAAAAATACGAAAATCAAAGAAAGACGCTATTCCATTTGATTTTACACACAGAATACTTGATGACGTTCTTTCCTATAACAATCCAAATTTTTTGATTGGGTTCATTAATATATACTCCTGAACATGAGATGAAAAAAAATTAGACACAACTTCTTCCTCCTCATTTGTTTATTCCTCGAATTTAACTTCAGTGGTTATCTCAGTACCAGAGTCTTTGACAAACGCGAAATTAACATTTTTCCTCAGCTTAGCATCAACATACAAACTTCCATGGCATATGGGGCATACATTTCTCAACTCATACGATATTCCAGAGCTTTCCGCTGCTACTCAGACTTTGCAAAACGTCATTTGTGCTCGAGGAAAACAAAATATTGAGCCATGGTTTTGTCACAGAACATGCAGAACGTCTTGTCTTTTTACCCAAAAGTTATCATAAGGTACCAAGACCTAAAATATAAATATTCAATGTCAACTCCTCAAATATTAGAGGCTGGTTTTGGATTATAGATTCTTGGTGATGACGTGTGTCATTTTATTTACTTCCATAGTCATGATAGTTGTCCTTTAATTTGTCTGTGTACGATTATGTCCCTTTTGGTCGTATGACTTCCTGCGTGGCTCGGTATTTGTCCATTAAGTATCCGGGTTGTTGTTGTTTGGCGTTTATGATACGGTTGGGTCCGGGGGAGTGCTACAGACGCAAGAAAATAAGGATAAGACCCTAACAGTGTGGACAGAACGTAATACGTCTGTTGTAAATAATAGCGAATCATTTAGCTAGTTTGTCATCGGCTATCGATAACAATGCATTTACGCTTACACAGTCTGTCAGAGGCCTTCCAGAGGAGATGTCAATAATCACTTGTTTCACATTTCAATACATAAAATAAAACTTTCTTTCAACAAAATTTAAAAGGTATTTTTTTTAAATATTCTTTTTACCAAAATTAACATTCAACAGTTTCATTTGAAAGAAGAATAAATGTGCAGAGCTAATATCATTGAATTAGAGAAACATATATTAACACATTTCGATTTTAATTATAAATATTTCAAGTGTATGAGGTTATTTCACAAAATATATTTCGGAGATAAAACGCCCCCTTGTTGTGAACATTTCAGAGTAACCTACCATTTACATTGTATTCAATGTACAAGATTTATGTGTGCATAGAGCTCAGGATAATGAAAAAAAAAAAAAAATAAACCAACATTTTTTTCCTTTTAGCTGGACATTTTTCGCATTGCCCATCATTTGAATTTCTGTAAAGGAGAAACCGGTACATTTTCGTATGGGTAAGGCTGTCGTGGGTCAATTCGTATAAAAAATAGAAATGGAAAACGAATGAAGAAATTGTAAATCAAATTAAGGAACAAATTAACAAAAAAAAATCCTTTTTTATTACAAGGTCATATTTTGCTTTCAACTACACGTAATATGACAATCACTTTCCCAATTTTACTATATTGCTGAGAAGTTCATGCGACTCCTGTTTTTCAAACTTGGATGCATAACTTGTGTCTTTTGGGGTTTTTATGTCGTATTTCAATAGGCTGATTCTTAAACGAATACATTTAGTCTGTTTATTCATCCGTGTGGTTG